TTTTTTTTGTATGAATCTAAAATAAAAATAAACATACAAAATTAGATTTAGAAGCATCAAAATTTGAACAATAAATTAACAAAAGAACTTTACCTGCTCAAATGTGCTCCAATTCCTCTCACACCCAGATGCATTACAAGTAAGGCTAAGGACCCGAATAGCAAACTTTGTCAACTCAGGTGTGTCCCTTCCAAAAAGCTTCCACCAATTTGCTAAAAAAAACAAAACAAATCCATCTAATTAAGTTTAACATTTATTTCAAGTGTTCATTATACTCGAATGAAAATGAAAAAGTAAAGATTATAACCTGGAGTTCGTAGTTTCCTTGAATTCACTGCAAGACGACTTCCAAACTCTCCTTTTGCCTCATCATACAAGTCCAACTGGATATCAGCAGTCATACGATCCTCAAAAGACAACATCCTAGTCATGCAATCTTCCAATCCCTTCCTCACTTCATCAGCATTAGAAAAGGTTTCTTCATAACGCAATTGAGGGTTCAAATAATAACCAGCAGCATGTAAAGGTTGATGGAGTTGTGGGCCCCATCTTTCATCTATTTTTCTCCAAATTGGTTTATACTTTCTTTCAACTTTTCCACAATTAAAAGAAATCTTCTCTTTTGCAACATCCATTAACTCATAAATAAATCCCATAGCAGGTCTCTCCTCTGAATCAACTTCTCTTAAAACCGATACTAATGGAATACCACTTTTGATGCAGAAAGCAACACAGGACCAAAAATTAACATCATATAGTATAGTTGAGTGAGCCCTAATACCTTCATTATGTTGGACAAATGGTCCATTGTGCCATTCTCTAGAAGAAAACATTGCCTGAAGAGGTTGCTTTTGCTTATAGATGCTTTGAAGAGTAAGATAAGAAGTGGCAAACCGTGTGATTGCAGGGCGAATTATCTCTTTGTTTTTCGTGAAAGATCTCATCAAAGCAAGAACCCATGTATGCCCATAAATAAACTTCACTACTTGCTTGGCTAGTCTAATTGTATCTTCAAAAACTTTCATTTTGCTAATATCTTCTAACATCAAATCAATGCAGTGGGCAGCACATGGAGTCCACCATAACTTCTTCCTCTTCTCCATAAGTTTCACTCCAGCATTCTTATAATTGGAAGCATTATCTGTTATTACTTGAATGACATGCTCCTCTCCAACTTCTTTGACAACATCATCTAAATATTTGAACAATAACGTTCCATTTTTTATGGAATCAGATGCATCAATAGATTTCAAAAACCAAGTACCTGCTGGACTATTCACAAGAAAGTTTATTAGTACTCTATTTTTACCATCAGTCCAACCATCAGACATAATAGTACATCCATACTCTGCCCAAGCTTTCTTATGTTCTTCCATCATCGTATTAATGTCGCCAACTTCTTCCTTAAGGATCCAAGTCCTCAGCTCATGCATTGATGGAGGCTTAAATCCTACACCATATGCGGCAATCCCTTCCACCATAGGTAGCCAAAATGGATCATTTACAATATTAAATGGGAGTGCTCTAGAGAAGAAAAAACGACCAATCTTTCGACAAACTTCCTTTCTTTCTTCTTGTTTGTATGCTGAATTTAATGTACTTTGCCGAGCTTCTAAAGTGACAAATCTATCCATTGGTCCTTTGATTTGGTTGATGAAGTTGTGGCTTATCAACTGCAGCACTCCTAGTACCAGGGATTCCATATTATTCATCCAATGAAGTTTCCACACTCAGAGCCCCTCATCCTGGACCATTCCCAATCTCTCTAAGCATTTCATTTTTCTTTCTTTTTTCAAGCTGAAGATTTTTCAAAGTTGCGGCACACTCTTTTTTCACATGCTCAGGAACTTTCTTACATGGTTGCATACCGTGATGAGTTTGACCTAAATGATGCTTAAGTCTAGAAATTCCTCCACTGCATCTTTGATCACAAAATGCGCATCTCAAGTATTTTTCCCCCTCTATTTCTTTTGCATACTTCCACGCAGGATCTTTTCGATTCATATCTATAAAACAATACAATTAATATTTCTAAGATACAAGTGTGATGCATGTACGTAAGAAAAAAATAACTAGTATATTTAAAACATATTGAAAAAAAATTATACGAAACTTCAAATTATAGTTTATTACAGTCAAATTATACAAGTATGATGCATGTACGTAAAAAAGAAAAAGAAAAAAAAGAAGACTTACTTGCAATCGAAAGATGAAGAGAATTCTTGAAATTGATGGAGTTATCTGGTAAGGATAGAAATTAGGGTTGTACACGTACTATACAATATATATATATATAGAGATATATATATATAGAGAGAGAGAGTCCATGTGTTAATATATTAATTTAGAGAAAAAAAAAAAGGTAAGTACAAAGCTACAACCGGTTGGAGTTAGGAAAGAAAAATAAAGATATTAAAGATATTAATTCTTGCAAGAGAGAGAAAAAAAAAAAAAGTTAAGTACAAAGCTATAGCCAATTGGGGTTAGGAAAGAAAAAGAAAGATATTAAAGATATTAATTCTTGCAAGAGAGAGAGAAAAAAAAAAAAAAAGTTAAGTACAAAGCTACAGCCGATTGGGGTTAGGAAAGAAAAAGAAAGATATTAAATATATTAATTCTTCCCTATTACAATTAAGGTAAGGAAAACAAAAGCTGAAACTTGCAGTTTTTTTTTTTAAAACACACTCCAAGTGAAATGACGTTGTTTCACTATAAGATTGTTTTTAAAACTCTGCAACCAAAACGACGTCGTTTCGTTACAAACCTATAAAAAAAAAAATCGAGTTGTCTTCCTCGCGAGTTCATCTTCCTCAAAGAAAATTTGCAGACTTTCAATTTCTTCCGTTTCAGAAGATTCCAGATCTGCAATGCCTCCTCACGCCTCGCTCCGCCTGGACACGCCTTGCAACGCCTCCTCACGCCTTCCCGGCGCTAAACGTGCAGATCGCGAAACAGCAGGACGCCTCGGGCGTTTTCCTCCCGCCTCGCGCCGACGTGCGCTCCGACGCGCGCGAAGGCATGCCTTTGAAAACACTGATTTATCCACGCAATGGCATTGTTCGAAGGCAATGAGATTTCTAAGTGTAAGCCCTGTGTAATCATGTATTTCTATTTTTGGAATTTTCACGGTGTCTTTATTGAACTGTATATCGAATAAGTTCTTGCTTGATCCCACTTGAAACTTAACTCCGGCCTGGTGTAGTTTTGTCACGCTGGGTGTACTCTGGAGCCCTCTATTTTTTTTTTGGTCGAATTGAGTGGCCCTCTAGTTTGTAAATATTGTAGATATAAAGTTCAAATAAAATCTGATAACGGTTTAAACTTTACATGCGATCTAGAAGAAGGATCTGATGAAGGTTTAAACTTTACATTTGACTTATTGTTTAACCAAAGACTAGAAGAAGGAATGTTTTCCGTTAGAATGAAATAAGTGTGAGAGCGTGTGCATTCCAATGATGAGTGCTCAGTGAACAAACTCTCTCTCTCAACGTCTCTCTTTTTTCTCTGCTGCATTTCTTCATATACTTCCTCTACAAGAAAACCTCTACTCTGTCAAAACTTCAACATGGTATTAGAGCCAGGTTCTAGATCTGAGTCTGGGCCTCGTGGAATTATAGTAAGCTAGTTGAGTTAACCTCTGTTTCTGGTCTCACATGGCTGGATCTGGAATGGGTGAGCTTCGTGCTCTCATCTGCAATGGAAGCAACTATGATTTCTGGAGAATAAAGATGTGCACAATCTTCAAATCTCACAAGCTGTGGGATATGGTTGAAAATGGGTATGATCAACCTGTGAAGAAGGAAGATGGAGAAGCTCTGACTGTAGCTCAAAAGCTTGCATTGGAGGAGAATGTTGCAAAGGATGCTAAAGCTTTGGGACTGATCCAAAGTGCAGTTTCTGACGATATTTTTCCCAGAATTACATTGAAGGAGTCAGCCAAAGAAGCATGGGAAACTCTACAGCAAGAGTTCAGGGGAGATAAGAAGGTAAGATCTGTTAAACTCCAAGCACTTAGAAGGGATTTTGAATACATTCATATGCAAGAGGATGATTCTTTATCCGGTTATATAACTAAGGTGCTTGAGTTAGTAAATCACATGAAAGCATATGGTGAAGGGATAGCTAATCGAAGGATTGTGCAGAAACTTTTGATTTGTTTGTCTAGGGAATATGATTCCATTACTGAAGTGATTGAACAAACAAAAGACACTAAAACTATAGGAGTTCAAGAGGTTATAGGCTCCCTGAAATCTCATGAACAACGTCTGCAAAGGCACTCTGAGAAATTGACAGAAAAGGCATTTTCTAGTCTTAAGTGTGAACTCTAAAGAGCATTCAAACACTGCACAAGATGGTAGTTCCAAGTCCAAGAAGAATTGGAAGTCACAAAATAAAAAGAAATGGGAAGGGAAATCTAGAAGCTCTTCTAAAAAGGAGAACCAGAATGAAGGAGAAAAAGGACCCTGCAAAATCTGTGATAAATTACATTATGGTGTTTGTTGGTTCAAAGGCAAACCTAAATGCTTTAAGTGTGAAAAGTTTGGTCACTTGGCAAAAGACTGCCATGGCAAGGCACCTCAGGCAGTACATTATGCAAAGCACATGGAGGAAGAAGGAAGAATGTTCTATGCATGTCATGCTGCTTCTGTGCTCAAGAACAGTAGTGTATGGTATGTGGACAGTGCTTGTAGCAACCACATGACCTCACATGAATCTCTTCTCATTGATATAGATACAAATGTTATTGCAAAAGTGAAGATGGGAACTGGAGATTTGGTTCAAGTCACTGGTAAAGGCACCTTGGTCATTGATACAAAATCTGGACCATGGCATATAAAAGAAGTCATGTGATAGGATTTTTAGTACCTGTACAAATAGGGTTAAAATCACATAAAATACTTACAAGAATACAAGGCTATTGTAGTATAGATGCTCATGCAAGGTCGTTCTCCTCAACGACTATTTAGCAATTTATTTAAAAAGAATTTTCAGTTAACTACCTAAAACTAAAAGTTGAGAAAGATGATTATGAAATTGTTGATATTAAAAACAAATGTTAAACAAAAACAAATATGATTGAAGGAAAGAGTTTTAAATACCAATTTATAAAAGCACTAGGGTTTCACCATCACGTAGCAATCCTATGAATTTTTACCAAATACTTATGATTTGCACATGCCACTTTGAAGGTTAGGTTTTCCTAATTTATATTCTACTTGGAACCTCCAACATAGAACGTATATCCAACATGCAACCCGTCCGGACGTTTGGATCAAATCTGAACATGAAAGGCTCATTATGTTTTGTGAAAACCCTTTGAAAAACCATGGAATCCTTAAGACGTGGTGTTCATCTTAAGTGAAATTACAATCATTAATCACAAGAAGCTAGCATCAATTTCAGGGAACCTTCTGACCAAAATTGCATCCAATTACTTTTCTAAAGATCCTAATGGTGATCAGGCATTAAGACAATTAGATAGTGTGATTAACAATTCAAAGTATGCATGCACTCAATCATAAGCAATTAAATAAAAATTACATATTCATGCTAAGGTTCAAGGTTTTACCCTAGCAAAAGATGATTAGTTACACATATTCATAATTGAAATCCAAGAAAATATCATTAAGAGGGAAAAGAATGAAAACACCTTAAAGTCACAAAAGTCCAAAACCCTAGTAATTGCTTTCCACAATGTCACGTTCAAAAGTGAAAAAGAAGACCCCAAAAATTGTTGTGAAAACTGACTGAAATACTTCCTAAAACCTAGCTGCCCAATCCCCACAAGGATACTAAGTTAAAATAAAATAATACTAGGATATAAAATCCAAATTGGATTAGGAGAATCTGCCCACAATCTGCCCAGCCACGTTTTGGCCTCAAATCTCCTCCAAATCTTGCTCAAGATAGCTTGTTTTAAAGATAAAAATATTCTGAACACTTCTCTAGAAGTCCATGAACCCATTCGAGGTCATATTGGGCTCCAAAAATGCAATAAAAGCCCAAAACATCACTATTCCAGTACTGCACATCACTCCTTTATTTATTCGCCAGTAAATTATCGTTTGGTGGAAGAATCTGAAATTTCGATAAGATCAAGTTAAGTGACTCACGAACGTCCTCCAATTGGAATTACTCCAAAATTCGTCCATTTGATTATGTTTTGCTCCAGAGGAATTCGAAAGTCCTATATTGAAAATATAATTCAAAGTATCAAAATTCTTGCAAAATATTAACCAAAATATATTAAGAATGAGGTTAAATATATAATATAAAATATACCCATCATCATGCTTGTACTAGGATTGGATAAGAATATACTATGTGTTGGACAGATGATCGAGCATGGATATTGTTTGGTTTTTGGTGATTCTACAGTGGAGATATATGATGACAAGTCTCTCAAGCATCTGGTTACTAAAGTTCTAATGACAGGAAATAGGTGTTTTCCACTTTGCCTCAAGTATGTGAATGCAGTGGCTATGAAGGCAACAGTTAAAGAGACTACATGGTGTTGGCACAGAAGATTTGGTCATCTAAATCTTCCCAACTTGAGACTGTTACAACAGAAAGAATTGGTGTATGGATTGCCAGAAATTGGTGATTTAGAGAAGGTGTGTCAAGGCTGCGCAGTGGGAAAATCACATAGGGAGGCATTTGGCATAGAAAAAGCTTGGAGAGCAAGCATGCCACTCGAACTCATACACTCAGATGTGTGTGGACCAATGCAGTCCACTACCATTGGAGGTAACAAGTACTTCTTAACCTTTACTGATGATTGCACCATAATGTGCTGGTTATATTTCATGCCATTCAAGTATGAGGTATTTGGTATCTTCAAGAAATTCAAAGTTATGGTAGAATTGCAAAGTGGTTATAAGATTAAGAAGCTTAGAAGTGACAGAGGTGGGGAGTACACCTCAACTTATGAAATTTTGTGAGGATGTTGGAATGGAAAGACAGTTAACTGTAGCTTACTCACCTCAGCAAAATGGGATAGCTGAGAGAAAAAATAGAACTATAGTGGAAATGAGTAAAGCAATGATGTAAGAGAAGAAGTTGCCTTATAAGTTTTGGGGAAAGGCAGTAAACACAGCTGTTTACATTTAAAACTGATGTCCAACTAGAGCTTTAAATGATTCAACTCCATTTGAATCATTTAGTGGGAGAAAGCCTAGAATTAAACATCTAAGGGTATTTGGTTATGTTTGCTACTAATCAATTGAGGTCCAAGTTGGATGACTTGGCCACTAAATGTGTTTTTGTTGGTTACGGTAAGTGTGAGAAGGGATATAGGGTCTACAACTTACAAACCAACAAGATTGTTGTTTCTAGAAGTGTAATCTTTGATGAAGATTCTTGGTGGGATTAGGAAAATCAGAGTGTGCAGCACATCTCAATTCCTATGAGTCTTAAAGATGGTACAAGGGACACTGCCATGGAGAGTGATTTTTCAGACTCATCTACACAGGAAACTCAGTTTGAGAACTCAAGTTCTTCTAGATCTGAACCAGAGAATGTCACACAGAGTGAAACTCCTGTGAAACTCAGAGACATTGCTGAGATTTATGCAAGATGTAACATGAGTGTTATTGAACCAGAGAATTATGAAGAAGCCTCAAAAGATACTGCTTGGAAGAAAGCAATGGAGGCTGAAATGGAGATGATTGAGAAGAATGAAACATGGGAATTGGTTAACAGACTAATGGACAAGCCAGTAATTGGTGTCAAACGGGTTTATGAAACCAAATTGAATCTTGATGGTTCAATATAGAAGCACAAAGCTAGGCTGGTTGTCAAGGGCTATGCACAAAAGCCTGGTATTGACTTTAATGAAACCTTTGCTCTTGTGGCCAGATTAGACACTATTAGGACTCTTATTGCATTGGCAGCTCAAAAGGAATGGAAGTTGTACCAATTGGATGTCAAGTCTGATTTTCTAAATGGAGTTCTTAAGGAAGAAGCGTATGTTGATCAGCCAGATGGGTTTCTAATTGAGCATTCTAAGGACAAAGTGTATAAACTAAAGAAGGCCTTGTATGGTTTTAAATAGGCACCAAGGGCATGGTATGAGGAAATTAATTCCTATCTCATTGATTGTGGATATGTGAGAAGCACCAATGAAGCAACTCTTTATTGCAAGACCAAACAAAACTCTGGCACACTCATTGTGTCGAGTTATGTTGATGACATAGTATATATAGGAAGCAGTGGAGAGCTGATGGCATTGTTCAAGTCTGAAATGATGAGAAGGTATGAAATGACTGACTTAGGTCTTTTGTATCATTTCCTTGGTATGGATGTAATTCAAACTCAACAGAGTATTTTCTTAAGCCAAAAGAAGTATGCTTTGACTTTGTTGAGCAAGTTTGGTTTGGAATCATGTAAACTTATGACTACTCCTCTTGTAGCAAGTGAGAAATTGTACAAGGATGATGGAAGTGATCCTGTAGACGAGAACGAATACAGACAAATAATGGGTACTTTGTTGTACTTGACAGCTACAAGAACTGACATAATGTTTGTAGCTAGTCTATTAGCCAGGTTCATGCATTGTCCAACCAAGAAACACTATGGAACAGCCAAGAGGGTGTTGAGGTATATCCAAGGCACAATCGATTTTGGTATTGAATACCAGAAGGGAAAAGAAGCTATCTTAGTTGGATATTGTGATAGTGATTGGAGTTGAATCCAAGATGACATGAGAAGCACCTCTGGCTACGCTTTCTTTTTTGGCAGTGGAGTGTTTTCTTGGGCATCAGTCAAGCAACATAGTATTGCTCTCGCCACAGTTGAAGCTGAGTATGTTAGTGCATGTGTTTCCCTCTTTTCGGCCGGGGCAGCCGACGGAAAGAACTTTTGGTCCTTTTTCTTTTGAATGCGGGGCGTGCCACCACCAAGCTCCAAATTTGGGCTTGAATAGAATGTGAATAGATGGATGTGTTGCGCTTCTAACTTCTGACCAAACGATTGATCTGCCAAACAAGGAACTTCCTTTTGGCCTAGATTATTTCACTTCCTCGGGCTCGAGGATGGTTAGGTTTCGTACGGATGTATTTTGTGGTTTTTATGATTTTAAGTAAAAATAGTGCAATTAAACTAAATATGCATAGAAACGTAAAGACAAGAATAGAAATGCGATAAAATAAATCAAAGCGTTAAATAAAGCAAGAACGAGATAAAAGCGATAAGAACGATAAGAATGAAAAAATGAAATAAACTTGAAATTAAGCTTAATTGAAGTGTGATAACAATGAAAATTAAAGCAATAGAAATAAGCTTGAATTTAAATGACAAGAAATATAAACTTAACAGGAATTTAAATGACAAGAAAAATATAAACTTACACTAGAAAAATGAAGAACTCACTACACTAGGTGCTTGAAAAATAAAATCCTAAGTCTAAGAAAAGAAAAGTGCGAGACGAAAGATAAGTTTGTTTGTCTGATGTTGTTTGTCTGATGTCTTCATTGAGCAAGGTTTATATAGGGCACTCGTCAGCCCATGGGCTGGCCATTGAATAGCCAAAGGTCAACTCTTTTAAAACTTCTTTCCTTCCAAGGCCCCCCTAGATCCGTTGGATTGCTTTGAGATATTCTGACATGCTTGATTCTTTCTTTTTTTGGAACACTTGGAGTTACTATAAGAAATCCCTTGATTTCTTTCCTTGTGGGGCCTTGTCACGTGCACACAATCCTCCGAAAATCTGGGCTTGAATCGTTGGCTTAAACTTGGACATCCAATTTCTCTTATATTGACATCCATATAATATGTATTAGACTTCATATTATTCAATATATATATATATATATATATATATATTACATCAATATGAGAATAAACATTCGGCC